AAGAGCCATTTAATGTTTTATTTGGTAATTATAATACAGCTTTTCTTAGATGTCAGGACTGTTAGAAATATTAAATTAGGAAATTTACTTCTGTCAGTCAACTATTGTTTACCATCTATGTCAGGCAGTGTTAGTATTAAAAGTAAATTGTTTCTTCCTATCACATTTCCTTCTTCAAAGCACATATTTAGTGAAACCTCTCCTCCACATTTTAACTTCTAGTGCTGTGTCAAATAAAGTATTTATTTTATTTGAAATATTTTAAACGATGAAAGCAAACATGGCCAAAGTCAAAGTTCAACATTATAGCAAAATACCTTTTATTATTTGTATCTATTTCCTTCTAATTCTTTGCAGATGCATAAAGTAAACAAACAAACAAAAATTTAAGTGTGGTTTCTTGTAGGCATTGTATCAGTGAACATTGAAGTTTCTCCATTTCTGAGTCTAAAACTCTAGATGGAGTTGTATGAATTATTTATAGAATACTTGTAATAGTCAGAGCAATTAAATCTTACTAATTGACTATAATTATTAAATGGCATTTATATTTATAGGTTGCTTTACAACCATTTGTTAGTCATTTTCATAGCTTTATTATTTCTGTAAATTAGGTGGATAAGATACTCCTGTTTTTCTCCATAGTTTCAATTATGCAAGTGTTAAATTAACTTCAACTCATCCTCATAAGTATGTCAATTCTGAATTACTGTTTTAGGGGTATGTATACAGAGATGTAATTCTGCTTATTTTATTCTTAGAAGTCTGCAGAAAGAAATCACTTGTAAAACAAATTTTTATGAATTGCTTTTGACTTTTATAAGATACTGTTTAAATGTGATTTACCTTTTATTTTTAAGAAATATTTCCTTTCGCATTAATAAAGGTCATGTAATACAACAAAAATTCCCATTTTTAAAAGAGGTTTTTAATCAGGTTCTTAAATTTAATCAGGCACTTAAAATTTTAATTCCTACCCAAAATAATGGAAGATGAAAATACAAGTTTATTCATGATCAGAGGTTTTGTATTTTAAAAAAACATAAATGGGCATTGTACCAATGAGGATTAAACCCTATGCCTAGCTAAGAACTTATCATTTGCTTTAAAATATGTCTTTAATATAAATAGTTGCCTTAATTCTTTCTTAATCTCCTCCTCCCCTCCCCCACTCCCCCATTCCAGTTACAAAAATAGTGGATTCCTAAGGTAGAGAACTTAGGGAACACAAAAAAGCATGAATTAAAATATCACTGGAAATCCCACGTTGAAGAGATGCTATTATTGTTAACCTTCTGCAGTATCTTCTTCCTACATTTTGTTTAGCCATTTTCTAAGTGTATGTACACTTGTAGACATATTGTGTTACAAAATGAGCTCATAATGCATCTATTGTAGTGCAAACTATTCACTTAACAGTGAATCTTGAACATTTTTATGTCAGTATTTTTCTGCACCATGGTTATTTTTAATAGCTATGTGGTATTCTCATCTATATTTGTGTAATTATTTACTGGTCTTTTTCTATTGGACACTTAAGTTTTCAAGTTTTAGAAGTGACAGCATTAGTAATCATGTAGTTGATACTAAAAAAAAAATTACAAAAGGATAACATTCAAAAGAATTAGAATTCAAGTAGAATGTTGCCGAATTTATATTAATATCCAGATTAAACAAATTTTGTGCTTATTGTTGAAAAATTATGCCATAATTATGTAATAAATTGTCTAATAGTGATCCATAAACATGAATCCAAGATTTTTAAAATGGTGTATTTTTTTTCTAAGGCATGTTTTACTTTGAATTAAATTAACTTTGCATTTCATGAGTGTAAATCATTTGGATAGCAATACTCTTGAACAAGCCTTCTAAGTAGGGTAGGAGTCTATGAAGCAGTCTGCACTCACAATTAAAATTTGAGCTATAACATTTTTTATACAGTAGTATAAATTCAATAGAGTTTTTTTGATTGCTCCAAAAACACTTTCCTAAAAAGAAAATCTAAATACCAAGAAAGAC